CGGCCAAGAGGAGGACAAGGGGAGGACAAGGCCCAGCCACAGAGCCCTGCCACAGTGAGTGTGGCCAGCTCTTTTCTTTCTAAGATAGAACCCCAACAGTAAACTGTTTGGGGAAAAAAACACAAGTTCTTCTGCACTATGTACTTCACATCTTGACGTCAAGCTGCGGACTGTTCCTAACCCTCTTCCGGTTGCACGATGTTGCACGTGTCAACCATAAAAGAGCCAGCTACACCATGGTCACCTTCTGCTCCATCAGTGTGAACTCTCGACCAATGCAGGCCCGAGGTCCATGAGCAAAGGGCATAAAGGCAAACTTGTGAGGCAAGCCTCGCCTCAAATGCGAGTCTTTTACGGCCCCGCTGCCGTTTCCGAAAAAATGGCACATGAGTTGCCCAAATCAGCGAAACGATGGCTGCCTCACCGCCTTACGACTGTGGCAGGATTTTGGAGTTGGCCGTGACAAAATGTGACATGATAGAATCCAGGGTTTGGATGCATGATGTTTTATGACGCTCTGTTCCTTTTTGCACTTCTTTTGCAGAAATCATGACTGGTGACGACTGCTTCCATCTGCTTCCCCCACCTTGTGCTGTTCTTGTTTCCCCCGGAAAAGGGCCCCAGGATGCAAACCAAAGCCCGGGGCACTCCCATCGCTCCGGCTTGAACTCGTTCACATCGGCACCCCAAAGGTCTTCACCTCGGACGTGACTCGTTGGGACGTGACGACGTGTCGGGAGGACGAACAGTGAGTGTACAGTGAACCGAGTGCTTTGATGATGGTTCATGCCAAGTTCATGCCAAGTTCATGCCATTGTTTTTTTCATCTTCATCGATGTGAACATGGATGTTCTGTGACGTGTCTTCTTCTACACCTGGAGGCAGTCTGCAGTCTGCTGTGCGTGGTTGGCCAAGTTGCTGTAGTGGAGGGCCAAAATGTTCACGATGATGGGAACCTGCTGGAAATGGAAATGAATCGAAAACTTGCTCTCCAACATGGTGGAACGACCTCTGTGAAACGATACTACTACTTATGCGTTCATCCATGTTCCACCCCTGCAACACACACTGGATCAAGAAAGACAGACATCAACTTATATATATGTGCTCATATAGAACTATAACGATTAATGTGGTTTCCAATGGATGTTCGTCTTTTTATTCCCATCTAAAAGCCAGGGTGGTGGAGGGCTCCTCATTTTAAGGCCAATCTCCTGTTGGGCACTCACCTTGGCCGGCACATACCATCCGCCAAGTACTTGCTCTCGGGTGGAGGTGCGCAGCAGGAGGCTCCCAGGCGGCATGAGGCGCAAGGTTTCCTTGATGCACCAATCCAAATACCTGGATCACATGGGGAGCTCCAAGGGTCGCAAAAGCCTTTTAACCACTCCTTGAAGAGAAAAAAGATTAAAAAAGACACCACCAATCCCTTGCACTGTCACTGAATGTCACAGTGAAAAAGACTTCAGACCTGGTAGGAAACCAGGAAACATCCGGAAAACACCAGGAAATGGAGGAGATCGGAGCTGTGGCCGACTTCAGCCCCCGTTCGTCTCGCCAGGGGCCCAAAGGAAGAAACGGGCCGAAGACGGCGGGGCGGAAGACGCGAGGGTCATGAAGCATGTCCATCGTCTGGAGGACGTGTTCCCGATTCGATCCGGAACTCTGGAGTCTAGAACTTCAGTCTAGAACCTCGAGTAAAACAGCTGGCGTAGCTTCAGATCGACTCCCAGAATGAACCGTCCAACCATCAGTTGGAGCCAACAAGTGTTTCAGGGTCTGCAAGCTCAACCCCACCCATTCATCACGATCATTGATCATCCAGTGGACTGCAGCTCGTTCAGGTGCTCCCAGCTCAACTAATCCTTTCCAACCACTTCATCGATCTCCCGCAGCAGTCGCTCCTCACCGGTCCACCACGGGTCCACCGTGGGCCGCGGGCCCACCGCGCGGGATCCAAGAGGACGAAGGTCTGAACGGTTTTTTATCGGTTTCTTCGCTTCGCCGAACAAGTTCGGAGTTAACAAGTAGCACCGGTGGCCTACAATGACATGCAAAGCACCGGCCACCCTCCGTCTGAAGAGAGAAGAGAAGAGAAGAGAAATGTATAGGTGTGAGGCATCTTGAAGCAAAATGCTCACAAACAATATTGCTGTCGGCCCGTCGGCCTGTTTCTAGTGACATTGCCTACAGTTGTCAGATTCAACCCATGTGCAAATGGAAAAGGGAGGGAGGGTCTTCCGTTCTCCATGCAAACTCAGCTACTACTTGCTTTACATAGACTTGCTCTTGCTCTTGTCAGCTGAAACAAGGCCCTCCTGCGTTTCATGACCCAGTCGCCAGTGCCGGTGAGCCGTTTTGAGGCCGCCGTTTTTTCTCCCCCCAGTGCCCGTGGTCCTTGCACGTGGGATTCGCACACAAATAGCAAAGGCATGAAGCCATGGCTGCAGCAGTGGAGTCTTGACCAGCAAACAGGAACGTGAGGAGGTTGTCCACCACCGACTCCTCGGACCTCGATAGGCCGCATGGGACGGTCACACCGGCACCATCGGGGCGGGCACGACCCCGGATCCGAACAGATTCCTCTTCTTTAGGGATGTCAACCTCCCATGGTTTGGTGGGGGAAGTTTTGACGAAACCAGCCACATGGTCAGTACGGACCAGTGAACTCTAAGCTTCTGCTCACTTCATTGAAGAGCGAAGGCTCGACTTTGCAAGGCTTCCGACTGCAGATTCAAACTGTGTGTGTGTGTGTACGACTGCAAGGTCTAAATGATGATTCCCAAGCAAATCAACAAGGGTGGTCAACGTGCTCGTCTTGTCCTTTCTTATGCACAAGGCCATCATTAGAGAAATCACTGATGAACGACTCACTGCACTGGTTTTCTGCTTGACTTATGTACTGACTAATCTGACTAGGCCAATTGCATCAGGCCACATCTTTTGCCCAGTTTTGGGATCTGCATCCGATAGCATCCTGTCCAAGAGGTCCTGGCTCATAAACCCCACGCTTGAAGGAGCTTGATGTGGCAACAGCTTCAGGTTCTTGAGTGTTTGGAAAGTGGTCTTCCACCACGGGTTTTTTCTCTCTTGGGGTCCATGGGATCGTCTGCCCGGATCGTAGGCGGACGGTCAACACACCTGGCCTTGTGCGACTCCTTGTGCTCCTCACTCTTTCGACGCTGCAGAATCTCCATGCAAGTCCGTCGTACACCTCGCGTGTTTTTCCGCACGACACGTCCGCCCAGATGTCTCGCGTTCAAACGACGCGTTGTTCAATGGGAGTTTGCCGAGGCCAAAAGAAACTCCAGGCTCCGCAAGCAGAAATGAGCCACCAAACATATCAAACCAAGCCAACAACCACATGCTTGAAAGATCTTGAAAGCATAGCATACTTTTGCTGACTGCTGGCCAAGGGGCTTGCAGAGCTGTCAATGTAGCTTTGCAAGCGCTGGCGACAGAAAATGCGCCTCAAGAATGGTGGCCAACGCCCGAGAACATCCAGAGACTCCACGACCTGGGACGCTTGGCGTTGGCACATATACCCCAGTCAGGACTCTTGACTCAAATCCCAAGCAGTGTATATAGGGGCTGGCCAAGAACCGTCTGGGGAATTTGAGCCAAGAGTTCTGAGGGGTATGTCATTGTGAGAAACGACGGAAGGATGACAAACGCTCTAACACTCCGAGAGGAAGTTGCCGCACTTGGATTCACGTCAGGGAAGTCGTGAGTCCCCGACCCGGCCCGGCCCCACGGCCACCAGAGGTGGGTCAAAGGGTCACGGCTTCGAAAGTCTTTGACTTGGAGATGTTTTAAGAATTACTGTACTCTAACATTTACAGTGTCATTCTAAAAACTCTTGAAACATAATTAAACGATATTAAACGTGTCTGAGCTTCTCTGCGTCACTTTAAACCTCTCTAGAGTTTCGAGCTGGGTAAGGGGGGTCTGTGGCCTCATTCTGCTTGGGGATAGCTTATTGGGAGATCCCGTCTCTGCTACCCGACAGTTTGACAAATTCGTTTCAGCAGAATGAGGCCACAGACCTCCTTCGAAGCATCCCCAACTCAGCAAGTTCACAGTGGTTTGGACTTATAGAGTTTCTGTGAGTAAAGGTCTAAAAAATACATCTACACGAAGTTGTATTTGAGCGGCAAGGTCTGTGGCAGCAGGGTCTAAAGTTCTAACTTGAGAGAGGAGGGGGTGAACGAAAGGTAGCAGGGAATCACAAGTAATCCGGGACTTTGCAGACTACCGTCGTGCTTGGCCAGTTTGAAATCTCCAAAAGCCGAAACAGCCCTTTCCGACACAATCTGTCCAGGTGTTTGGCAATGTTTTGCCCATGTTTGAAGCCTAGACACTTCAAAAACCATCAGCTTTTATGCGTTTCTCTGCCGAGCCGCCACACAAACAACCTGTAAATAGCGTGGTTTGAGGCCACTCTTGAAGACTGGAGGAGCTGAAAACACTGGTATTTACGGTGTTTTGTGGCCACTTTGAAGCGTATGTAGCCCAAAACCATCGCAATTTACAGGGTTTGGTGCCGGGAAGATGCACAAACCCGTGTGAATACCGTCGTTTTGAGCCATTTTGAAGCCTCCAAAAGCCGAAACAACCCTTTCCGATGAATTTTTTCCTGGTTTTGGTCATGTTTCGACCATTTTTGAAGCCTAGACACTTCAAAAACTATCGGTTTTTACGAGGTTTTTGGCCGGACAGCCACAGAAAACCCTGTAAATTGCGTGGTTTGAGGCAACTCTTGCAGAATGGAGGAGCTGAAAACACTGCTATTTACGGTGTTTTCTAGCCGTTGACAAAGAGCCGCGCCAGGGTGGAGTTGAAAGAGGGGGGGAGGCCCCCCCCGGCCTCTAAAATGAAATGTCGTAGGGCGATTCTCAGTGAGATGGGTGTCCACTCTGGTTATAATTCATTTTTGCTAAAGCAAAAGGAAAACTCAGGTAGCATAACCCTACCTTTCGTGAAGAGACGCTCGCGAAAAAATCAGGGTAGAACATGGTAGAACTAGTAGAACTTCCTCAAATGCACGATCTGCACCTCGTTCTACCATGCTGTCCCTTTTCGCGCACCTCGTTCAAGTGCTTCACAAAGGGATTGATCTCGGCGTTCTCAAAGCATCCGAAAGACCTCGAAAACAACGGTTGAGCCGCCAATCGGCCCAGCTGGGCCGGACCCAAGGAGACCTGGTGCTGCTATTTTTGACTTTGCAATGCATTGCCTCTACATTTACATCCTCAACCAGTTGTCACGCCCACCAACAGGCTTTTAAGCCTGTGCACAGTCTATGTTGCATTCACGGAAAAGAAAGCGGCCTGTCCCTACTTGCTTCAGGAGTCACAGGCCCAAAGCCCAGAGACCAATCCAAGTGGCCAAAAGAAGTTGTTGAGAAAGCCCATGTGACTGAGCAACAAAACTGCCCATGTGACTGGCGCGAGCACTGTGTTTTCAGCGCACCATGTGACTAGTTCGCCTTCGCTTCATCCCTGCAGGCCATCTTCGCCAGCCGAGAGGCGTGCCCAATCCGCACACTGCAATGGTTTCGAAGGCCATCTTCACCACCCAAGTGTCCTCGTCAGTGCATTCTTAGAAAAAAAGAATACAGGAACAAAAAAAACAAAAACAACACGACGAGTGGGTGAAACAAGAGCCACACGGGCCTTAGAAGTGAAAAAACCTCCAAGATGCACTTACATCTGTAACAAAAAAAGAACGGACAAATCGATCTGCTACATGCATCAGCAGGTCTTAAGATTGGCTCTCCGTATCTTCGCTCACCAAAAACACACCTGGCCCAGCGGTTCGGACGCGATTCGAGAAGCGCTCTCTGTCGTTTTCTTCGATTCGCCAAGTCTTCGAACGGTCCCAGCGTCGATGTAGGTGGTCCCGCCGTATCCCACGTCACGCTTCATCGCCTTGATCAAGAGGTCGGCTTGGTCGCACATCATCGGCATGATGCCACGAACACCTAGGGGCGGACCGGGTCATGACCGGTGGGCGGAAATGGATACGGTGTTTGCTCCAACGACTCATGTGGGAATATGTTTTGGAATTTGGTTTGGGCTCAATGTCGCAGCATTTTAGAAGCGAAGCCTGTAGACTAACCACCACTCGGAAAGACTAAGGCAAGAAATGGGGATTGCCGATCCTGCCACGACGTCGGCTTTTTGGGACGTTGATCACCAAGAGCCCAGAACACCTCCTCGAACCGCACCTCGAACAGAGAAGGGCGAGATGAGAATCCGATGGGCCACCTGCCAAGCTGGATTGTCTGTGTTCACTGTGAAGAGCCCATCTTTGAAGCTGTACCTGGCGAGGACAATACGAACGTCAGAAAGGGCAACGGGCATGTGTCGATGTACTCGGAGCGAGGCGATCGGATGCGACTCGAACGGGGCGCTCCTGGCCTGGCCCTACTAGTAACAAGAAGCTGCTACTAGGTAGCAAAGGGCAGCTCTAGTAACAAAGGGCACCACTATAGTTAGCATTCTTGCTATGAACGTCACAAAGAAGCTACCCTCTGCACCTGGCGAAGAAACGACGCCCGAGTCGCTCGCCCCGAAGCCGGACGAAGAGCCGCACCGAGACGACGACGACTCACCGGGTGACCGGGTGACCCGATGACCGAAGCGACGCGTCCGACCCCACGGGCAAACGCGGGCTAACGCTCAGGTTATTTGAGAGAAGGTTGGGATGGGAAAGGAAATCACATGAATGTTCAAATTTGACTACATTCACTTTGAGTCATACGATTGTTGATCACGAAACGAGTTGTTTGTGCACGTCCAAAACGGATGAAACGCACAAAACGAGAAGTGTACACTCGACAGCCGCTTTTAAGCTCGAAAATAGGAGCGTTGAACCTTGCAGGTTATGAGCCCAAGGTGACAGGTGTAAGACCCGGAGGCAAGGCCGGGCAGCCCCGCGGCTCCGCGCCATGTCGATGGTGGCACGCCGACGAAGGCGGCAGCCAGGCGATGATGGAGAAGGTGAAGACAACGATCAAGCAGGCCTTCAACTACAAGAGCAGCCGCTGGAGGAGGGTCAGCTGGCGTTGGAGGATGGCGAAGATCAAGGGGAAGAGACCCTTAAAGGTCCGAAGGGACCACCTACGACCCTGACGCCGATGACCCCGCTCTTCACGCCTGAGCAGTTGAAGGGACTTCATGAAGTGCAGAGCCAAGCTCCTCACTTGTATGCTCAAGTCCCGAGGCAGAGCATTTGGCAGCCTGGTCTTGGGAACAGGTCGCCAGAGGAGGTGAAGCAAGAGAGACCCACGTTCCTGCCGAAAGAAGAAGGTCCGGTGGGAGTGCTTCCACAAACGAGCACGACGACGGGGACACCATCACCGGCACTGGTGGGCGATCATGTACCAGATGACCAACGACGTGGACGACCAAGAGAACCACGGGTACCTGAAGTACAAGAGCCTGAAAGTGACAGCGATGGGCAACAACATCCCCAACCTAGAGAACAATCGGTGGTTCAGATCCAAGGGAACGGACCGGGAGGAAGAGGTCTACATGTTCCAAGAGGCTTTGGACAAGCTGGCCCACCTGGGTACATCATGCCCCATGAAGAGAGGAGGGGACCTATGCCGCACCAAGGAGGATGGCAAGTTCAACTGCATCCTTATGGCCCTGGTCCGCCGAATCCACAGGAGATGATGACCATGTTGGCGATGTTGAAGCAGGAGAATCAACAACTGCAAATTCAGCAGGCAGAGCTCATGGACGCCATGAAGTACCAAAGGGCAAGCCTGGAAGCCAAGGTCCATGATCTACAACGTGAGCTGGAGCAGCAGGCCTTCAGAACGCCAGAAAGCGATGAGCCTGTGAAGCGTCAGCTGGAATTGACGGTCGACGAACCTCTGAGGGAGACAGACTTGGAGGTGGAAAGACGCCGGCTGTATGAGTTGACTCCCATGCAACAGTTCGAGCAGCTCCAATCCTTGATGGGGACGGTCACTCCGGCGCCAGCAAAGCGAGGTGGTCGGGGGCAAGGACAACGAGAGAGGTCGAGATCTCAAGGTCCGAGAACTGCACGTCAGGGAGGAGGTCAACCTGAGGGCTTGGTGGCATCTCGGGCGAAGGGCTTCGAACCGGAAGGAAGACAAGGAACCGGGAAAGGTGTGGGTCAGCCAAAGAAGAAAGCCACAGCTGAGCAGCCTGGTCGATCTTCAACTGCAAATGTTCGGGAAGAACAGTCGAGAGAAAGCAGTGGTGGCATGGCTGATGCGATGTCCATGCTGATCACCTACCTGGTCGACAAGGAAAAGAAGCAAGAAGGACCTGAGTCGGTCAAGCCGGGAACGGCCACACTTCCGGTCCTGGCAGAGCCATCCGATACGGCTCCCATCGACCTCGCTGACTGGCTCACTATGGTGGAACCGGCAATGACAGATCTTAGTGACTCGTCGGGCGAGTGGTGGGAGTTGGTGGTGAGTGAAGCAAGGGCTTGGTACAAGCAGTACATCAAGCTCCGCCCAATCCAGAGGGCCTCATCCAAGATCGAGCCGTCAGCTGAGTTGCAAAGGCCAAAGTGGGCTCGAGTGGAGAAGAGGGCCATCAGCATGCTGCTGTCTTCAGTTCCCACGACAGTGAAGGAGGAACTGGTGGCAATGAGGACTTTGTCACCGCTGGGGCTGGTGAGCAAACTCATGGTCCTCTATCAACCAGGGGGTGCTCATGAACGCACCATCATCCTGCGACAACTTGAAGATCCGCCAGAAGCAGGGTCGCCAAGCGAAGCCTGTATGGGGCTCCGACGCTGGATGCGCTGGCTCAGGAGGGCCACCGACATTGGCTTGAACCTTCCTGATGCGATCATCCTCATGAAGGGCATCAACAAACTTAGCAAGCGGATCCTCACTCAACAACCGGATCTGCAATTCAGATGTGCCTTGGTCAAGAACACCTTGCAGCTTGATACCATTCCCAATGAGGAGACTGTTCGGACGTACGCTGAGCATTTACTTGCAGAACTTGAACAGCTCATGCATCGAGTCCGACCGTCGTCGAGTACCACGAGGCCTGGAAATCAGGGAGGTGGACCATTGGCAGTAAAGGCTCTCCAAGGGGAGGACAAGGAAAAAAAGGGAGATTCGCCAACGACTTCAGCAAAGGGTCCCTGCCGATACTTCCTCACCGAGTCTGGATGTCGAAGGGGACAGTCGTGCAAATGGGCGCATCAACTGGAAACTGGTGATAAGCCGAACCAGGAGAGGAGGTGCTTCACGTGCGGAGCTACACAACATCTAGCTCGAGAGTGCCCGAGGAAAGAAACGGCAAAGAGAGGAGAGGGACCCCCATCTCTTCAGAAGCTGTTGGACAAGACTGGTGGTGGTGGAAATGGGACTTCGCAAAGTGAGTCTGGGGCCTCGATGTCTCCTCAAGCGGCATCCTCGCAGTCGGTGGTCTCGGAAGCGGTGTCGGACACCACGACAAGGGCAGCGGACCCAATCAAGAACGTGCTTGATGAGGCGCACAAGTTGCTCAAGGGCATGAACCTCGAAGAAGAAGGGCAAGATCGTGCAACAGACCTTGGCGCGACGTTGAAGAAGCTGAACCAAGCATGGGAAAAGGGTGGCCCAGGGCTTCGGGCAGTCAAGATCGCTCGAGTTCAACAGGGTCGAGAAGGACTGCTGGATTCTGGGGCCACGCATGCTCTGAGGCCCAAACTCCGAGGGGAAGACCTTCAGCGATATCGCCAGGTGAGGGTGACGTTGGCTGCTGGAGGAGCACAAGCCGATCGTCCCGGCAGGAAGGCTCGTTCGCGACTTGGGATGTCGAATCGAGTGGGCAGGGGAAGCTTGCACTTTGGAGCACCCAGTCAAGGGCAACATCGACCTCAGAGTTGAAGCGGGATGCCCTCAAATGGACCATGACGTAGCGTTGGACCTCATCAGGGAGCTGGAGGAATCTCGGTCGAGGACGGCGTTGAGATGCTACCGGTTTGGGGAGACCCACAATGATGTCGACTGGCTGGACAGGGTTGTGGCAGATTGTCCGATCTTTGACAAGGTCCCGATACGGATCAAGGATCGCTTGGTGGATACCCCAGCGAGGAATCTTGATGTCCTTGGAGCCAATCGACGCATCCGAAAGCGCTGGAGAAATGAGGGAGTGGTGGTTCATCTCTATGCTGGGAAGAATGAGGGCTACGACCTTACGAGGGCGCTCAAGGAGGCTGGTGGAGACACTACGAGGTTGTTGGAGGTGGATATCCTTCGAACCCAAAGTCATGACCTGTCAAAGGACGATGCGATGTATGCAGCACTGCTACGGATTGCTATGTTGGGCTGGATCGATGCGGTGATTGGTGGACCCAACTGCAGAACCCGCAGCGAGCTACGTCACCATCCGGTCACGGGACTGCCAGGACCATCAAGATCCTTGGGAAGACCGTGGGGCTTGGACGAGTTGGACGAAGTGGAGAGGGCAAAGTGCCACTTAGACGATGCGCTGTTGCTGCGCATGGTGACGCTCTATGTGGTGGCTAAGCTGGGTCGAGATGCACGATTGTCCCAGGAGAAGAACTCCGCGTTGCTGCCGACGGTCAGGTTCTTGATGGAGCAGCCAGCAGCACCTCAGCACATGCCGGAAGTGGCATCCTTCTGGAGAACTGAGGAATGGAGGATAATGAAAGAGCACCTCAACTTGGACCTGGTGACCTTCAACCAAGGGGCCTATGGTGGTATGGCGGTGAAACCTACATCACTGGCTCTCAACATGGAGTTCATGGTCCCCGAGGATCGAGGACCACCCAAGGCCTTCCTGAAGACCAAGCATGAGGTGTCGAGTTCAGAGCCGGCAAGATGGGCTCCTGGAATGATGCGAGAGATTGCTCGAAGTATCACAGTCAACATCCAGAAGAGGTGGGTGACAATGAAGGCCTTGTCATGGCAGGAGCACTTGGCGCAGGGACATGCGCCGTTCCGAAAAGACTGCGCTGTCTGTCAGAGAGCAGCCGCACGGGATCGACCACATCGAGCTCAAGGAATCGCAGCCCCGTGTGTGCTATCGCTGGACCTGACGGGACCATTTGTGCTTGGCCATGACATCGATGGCGACCTGAAGAAGTACCTCCTGGTTGGAGCATACACATGGCCGGTTATGGAGGAAGCCCCATGGGATGAGGTTGAACAGCTCGAAGCGCCCCTAGACAAGGACTGGCCGACACTCGAGGAGGAAGAGGCCCTTCGGGAGGTGGAGTATGACCTGGCCCAGGATCTGGAGGCTCATGGTGAAGAGATGTCCTATAGACCTACGTCTGATGAGGGCGAGGATCTGGAGATGGGCGAGCCGGAGGAGGATGAACGGCAGGGTGAAGGAAACGGTGATCGGTTAGAGCCGCTACCGGATCCAGGACCCTGTGATCCAGAACCACTTTCGGTGCCGCTCCCAAGGACTCCAGAAGAAGTCGAAGAGCACCAGAAGGCCTACGAGATGATCACAATGTCTATCTGCCTACCACTGGCCTCGAAGAGCGCGGCGGAAGTCCTCGCTGGAACGCAGGAACTGTTTGGAATGCTGAGACGCCACGGCTACCCTGTGGCTAGGATTCACACCGATGCCGGCCGGGAGTTTGACAACAACCCGTTCAAGAGGTGGTGCTTGGAGAGGGGGCTGGCGAGAACCTTCAGTCCTCCGGATGAACACCAATCCAACGGTCGTGCTGAGGCCATGATCGCGTCGATCAAGCAAAGGGTCCGTCGACTTCTACATGCTTCGGGCATGCCCACGAAGTGGTGGCCGGCAGCGGCTAGACACGTGACGGAGCTGGAAAGAAGGAGAAGGGAGAACATCAAGGAGACGCTACCACGCTTTGGGCAGCTCATCACGGTGAGAAAGCGAGCTTGGGAGCGAGGAGGACCTTTCGAAGTGACATCCGAGACGGTGACCTACCTGACCCCTACACCACAGGTGTCCAAAGGGCATGCGGTTCTCACGGACAAGGAGAAGGTCAAGGTGGTGAGCTACTTGATAAAGGATGTCAAAGAGCCTAAGCCTGACGAACGGGACTTGGTCCTGGAGGAGGTCCATATCCAAGATGATCCTGTACGGCTTCGCTGGAGGTTGAGAGAAAAGACGCCACTGGCTTGCATACAGGGAGAAGAAGACCTACAAAGGGAGGAGGATCGTCGAATGCTCTTTCAGGCCATCTATGAGGAGGAGGGTCACTTGTTGGGATCTGCTCCAAGAGAGGTTCCTCCGTTGAGCCGAGGCCTGGTTGCTCTACGGCAAGAACAGGTGGCATCGACCCAACGACTCTTGGAAGACGAAATTCTCCAAACCCGATCGTACCCAACGATGAGGTGTACAAAGACCGGGACCTTTGGCTAGAAGCTATTACGAAGGAGATCCAGTCCTTGGAGGGCAAGAAGGCGATTCAGCGACTGAGTCCCGCAGAAGTGGCCTATTACCAAAGGGAGCATGGGGACAAGGTGGAGGTGGTCCCGGGGAAGGCTATACATGCCGTGAAGGCTCCCGATGGACGTCGGAAGTGTCGCCTGGTGGTGTGCGGAAACTACCTGAAGGGAGGTGGAAGAGGGCCTGGAGATCGTTCGGAGGCAGCTCAACTCTATGCAGGTGGAGCAGACACTACATGCTTGAGGACCTCCTTGGCACTGGCTGCTGCGCGGGGCTGGCAGGCAGCTAGCCTGGACATAAAGACTGCCTTCTTGAATGCTCCTCTGCGGACGCTGCAGGAGAGCAGCCGGAAGAAAAACATCGCCTTGGAAGACGCCCATGGTCGACCTCAAGAGGACCATGGAGAAGCTGGAGGAGGTCACGGTGGCCGAGAAGAAATGACCGTGGAGGGGCAGCAGGAGGAGGACCTCACAAAGAGGAAACGACTGGCGCTCATGCTTCCTCCAAAGATCCTCGTCCGGCTGGGATTGGAAAGAAGGGGAGATGTGGTTGGTGCAGAAGGCCTTGTATGGCTTGCGTGAGTCTCCGAAACTTTGGGGGGACTACAGGGACATCGAGATAAGCCAGATGTCCTTTCAAGCGAACTTCATCACCTATGAGTACCAGCAGAGCTTCGCGGAGGAGAACTTGTGGTTGGTGCGCAGGAAGGATGCTGGAGATGGAGACCAGGTCGAGGGACTCGCCCTGGTGTATGTGGACGATGTGATGCTCTTCGGCACTAGAGAGATTGTGGAAGGAGGGCTCCAGAGCTTTCGAAGGACCTGGGAGACGTCCGAACCTACGTGGGTTGGAGATCGTGAACCAGTTCGGTACTGTGGAATGGAGTTGAGTCGAACTGAGCAAGGAGACTTCTTTTCCAATCAATGTTCCTACTTGAGGGAAGTGGTTCGGCGACATGGCATGGAGGACCTTTGCAGCGCTCAGATGATGAAGGAATCCCAGGAACCCGAGGATGAGCTGGATCGCACGCCCTTGCAGGTCCGAGAGGCGCAACAACTCGGAGGAGAACTTTTGTGGCTGGCAACGAAGACAAGGCCAGACATTGCCTACACGGTCAGCCGGATTTGCTCAGCGACAAGCCGGACACCGAAATGGGCGGTTCAAACCGCATACCAGCTGATCAGGCACTTGAATGCCACGCAGGGCCTGGGCTTGTGGTACCGCAGAGATGCCAACTTCATCCTGGAGTCAGTGAGTGATGCATCCTTTGCTCCGGGAGGCGCTCATAGCCATGGATGTGTGATCACAACAGTGGCTGGAGCACCGGTGGCATGGAAGAGCTGCAAGCAGCCGTTTCCGGCACTTTCAACGGCAGAAGCAGAGCTCATCGAGGTCATCGAAGCTGTGGTTGTGGGAGACAGCATCGCATGTATGGTCGATGAGATGGCGAAGGACGTCCCGAAGTTCCTCAAGTGCGACAACACTGCTGCAGTGTCAATAGCAAGTTGTGCAACTGGAGCGTGGCGTACAAGACACTTGAAGGTCCGGGCCGCCCACCTCAAATGGAGGATCCAATCAGGTCAATGGGAACTGAAGTATCAACCTGGAAGAGAGCTCATTGCGGACATCGGCACCAAGGCTTTGCCCGTGGCCCGAGTCAACGAACTAAGACAACGGATGGGAATGTCCTGGCAGCCCGACTCGGTTGATGAAGTACATGAGGAGGATAAAGGCATTGTCGCGCCTCGTGCTATGAAGTTGGTCGCCAAGTACCACTTGGAGAAGGCCATGAAGCTTGTTGTGGTGTTGTCGGCGTTGAAAGAAGTTCATGGAGCTATGGCGGAGAACGTCACCAAGGGTGTCGATGAGAATGTAGAGGGTGACCAGATCTTGTACCTCCTCAGCGTCATGATGATGTTGCTGGGAATGGTGCTCATGAAGGTTGTCCAAAGATGCCGCATGCATTGGGACCGGGTGGAGAATGAACCGGCGACGCGTAGAGTAAGGGTCTCTCGCTTGGCTGGACCGTCTTCTTCCGGAACAAGGACTTCTACCAGACCCCAAGGAGAAGGAGAACAAGAGCAACGTCTAGGTGGTGGAGAATGGCAGCCGTTAAACCCTGGGGGGCACAGTGCTTCATCCTCATCACCAAGGAGTACCAGAATGAGTGGAAGCGATGGACAGGGACATCGAGGAAGAGCAGATCCTGCACTGGAGGAGCCACAAGAGGAACCGCCGAATCAAGCTGACCTACCTGGAGGGCATCATCTACAGATCACCCTGACCGGGAGGAGGAGACGGTTCCCCAATGAGCCAACGTGGAAGATCTGGTTTGCCGAGTCCAGCAAGTGCTTCCATAGACAGAGAAGCTGCAGGGGATTGAGGAAGGCTAACCAAGTTCACGAGCAGCCGGTGTGTGGGGCTTGCCAGAGGGCCACAAGAGGTCAAAGAAGCCTTCGAGAAGCGAACTTTGTCTATGAGGACCAGCTCGGCAACTTCCACACCGATGCTCGGTGCCATGCGGTGACGGGACCAATGGCAGAAATCCGCCAGTGTAAGATCTGCGGAGTGTGAAGCGGTTTGGGCCGGAGGCTCACTTTTGAGGAATGCTGGTTGGCAGACGAAAAAACCTGCCGACCAGGGAGGAGTGCACGTCCAAAACGGATGAAACGCACAAAACGAGAAGTGTACACTCGACAGCCGCTTTTAAGCTCGAAAATAGGAGCGTTGAACCTTGCAGTTTGGACTCTGCCAATGGAAGCGAGGACCGTTTGGGATGCACAAAAAGCTTCAGCTCAGAGGTGCTCGAGGAGATCGCCACCCAAAGGCAAATCGTTGAAGTTCTTTGTAAACCTGCGGAAGGACATGGGCTGGGGGCTCATCCCTGGATACCAGCCAGGTAGCACCTGACCATGTCAACACACCTGCCTTTGTCGACATCAACGACTCATCTCCTCAAATGACCCATTAGTCACAGATGTTTGTTCCGTAAGAATGTCTCACACTAGTGGCATTGAACAAACCTAGGTGACTTAGTCACTGAATGTCACTGACTACACCATCGCACTCTTCTGGATGTTGGGCGGCCCAGACCTGTGTGGATCTCCCTCAAAAACCTCCTGCACCAAGTCAGCATCTGAGAGGCAAATTATGTAGGTGCCACAGAAATTCAGGCCGTGGGTCTTGAATCCTGCAGCTTCTCAGCTCTGGGCTCAAGAAACAGCTGGAAGGCACACATACCGCTTCTTGCTACTTCTTACTGTTCGCAATGCCTCAAAAAAAGGATCTCCACCGAAAAGAGTTGGGTTGCTGCATATCAAGCTGTCTGGATAACCCTTTCCTAGCTGAATCAGCTTTGAAATGGTTTGACTACATAAAAGCATATGCGAAAACAGGATTTGCTCTTGTCGGCATTCGATAAATAGATCACTGCACCACTGAGCCACGCCAGCATGCTCTTTCATATATGATGACCCTTCCGGAAAAGAGCTTTACAAGCGGCGAAAAAGATGCAGATGATTGCAGGTGTCCACTCAAATCAGCAGAAAGCAGCACCATGAAGGTTGAGGCTCACCCTCCTTGAGATCGCTGAAGCTCAAGTCCCCATTTTGCAAGAGCCCAGCTGCTGTTGTCCCAGCAATAGCGCATCACCGTGACGAAGTGGCCCAAGAACGGCCAGCTGCCTGTGGAGCGGCCATGCATCTCCCACGTTGAAGGTGTCTTGAAGATGAATTCCAACAAGGTTTCTGGTTCAGGTTTCTGGTTAAAATATGTTAAAAGTAAGAACACATTGCAAATCCAGCAAATTCGATTCGATGGCATGCGTTTTTATGTGCAGCTTGCACTACACCTGGGCAATGAGAGTAGCAGCTCTATATATATATATATTATATTATATATATGGGCTCTGCCGCTCTGCCTGTAGACTCTGCAACAGCTTACATCAAATATCCAAATGCTTCGCCCTGCCTGGAGGATAAGGGGGGCTGCTGCCCCTTCCTCCTCCAACGTCGTACTACATCTAAGGCTGTAGTGACCGTCAGCAGCAGGGCACCTGAGCGGATCCTCCCTACAGTCCCTACACGGTCGGTGCTCCAATGGGCGAGTAACCAACCGTGCTGTTCCAGGCAACACGAAACACGGATAGTTTGGCAAACTGCGAAACACGGTCTCCCTTAGGTTTGTTGCCCCCTCACAAATGGCCTACCTACATTGGTATCCGAAACAAACTAGACTAGTTTTCCTCCTTCCAAAGAGACTGGACTGATCAGAAGTCAGGGTGAACTTCAAGGTTCTTGCCTTTGGATGTGTTATTTGTTTCCTCCCCGCCTGCCACCACTACCTTGTTTTGTGCCAGGTCTGCTACTTTGCTCGCGGCGACCATGCTTGTGGGATTGGGTTCTTTCCGCTTGCTAGGAGGCTTCGAAATGGCTGCAGACCACTGCAGTTCATCCACAAAATCTGCGCTCCATGTTGCACATGACACAGGTTCCTCAGCAATCTGCTGTCTAGTATGGCTGCTTCAGCCAGCCGTAAGGTTTGGCGCTATCACTTTCTTAGCAAGTCATATTCCGTATTCGATTCATGTCAATTCATCAGGGCTCAGGACAAGTTTGTCAGAGTTTCTCAATCTTTAGGCCTATATCTTTCTCCCAAACACTGGAATGCTCCGTCTTCCGCTTCTGTCCACTCCCAAAAAGATAGAGAATCCCCACCTCGATCAGCTTTCGCATCTTGGCAAAGACATCTCCACCTCCTGGCCATGTCCACAGGTGTGGGTACACATCTTAAAAGTAAAAAAGAAACTGAGTGGAAACAAATGGCAGAGACACCATAGCGGCTCACGGCACCCATCTTGGAGGCAAGCTGGTTCAAGGCCTTGGCAGTTCGAAAAGAAAAATCAGGCAAGTTCCGTCGCCGTGTTCGTTCCCAATTGCACCCGGTTCCCCAGAGGCCACACCTTCTATGGGTTTGTGATTGAAAAAATCACCATTTGCCATATGCCATCTCTATCATCTCTCTCAGGCTGGGCCAGTGACGGATGACCTGAGAGCGCGGTAGGAATGTGTCACAACACACCCTCCACTCTGAAATCAATTCTCAGCCTTCTACTACTCCAAATGCTGTCTATAAAATCAAAACCTACAACCACTACAAAATCTTCTCTATAAAATGGAATAGCGCAGCATGAAAAATTAACTTGTGAATGCACAGGTTTGTAGGCTATATTTTTTCAGTTTGGTTAGGTTGATATCTCCTTCTAGAGAAAATGTGTTCTATTTTAAAAAAAAAAGTTTATGACGGCCGTTTTGAGCTTGACCTCCCAGATTCTATAGGGCCTATAGGGTTCATTCGGCAGGGGATGCTACTGTACATGCTACATGTGTCTTTTCACTACGACCGGTCTCAGTTCCGTGGGAAGCAGTTCTCCGTGTAGGCCCATGGGGCTTTCCACATGGGCTTTCTGCGCTCAGTAGGCCCCGAAAAATGCAGATTTCCTGAGAACGAAACCATTCAATCTGAAGTTGAACATGGCAAGCATGCATTCTGAAACGGCCTTTCGTGGTTGTGTGTGTGTGCGCATGAACCAGAATTCAGGCCCACAATCATCAGCACCAAACGTCGCGTGGGCGGATTTAAGCTGCACAACAAGCAGACTCTCCAACAGGCAGGCAGAGCGAGCAGGCATACACGCAGGCAAATGAACGAACGAACGCATGCACGCATGCACGGACGGACGGAGGGACGGAGGGAAGGGAGGGGAAGAGGGTGCCGGATCAATTTCGTGCGATTCTGCCTAAAAACTAAAACGTTGCTTTCATGTTCAGGGCATGCACCGGAACGTTGCAAGCAGTTCAGAAGCCGGTCCGACAGCAATTCGAGCAACAGCCTCCCTTCAACAGCGGCCTTGACATGACCAGTTACTTCAGAAGCCGCACACACAAACACTCGTGTCTGGACAACTACCTTGAAGGGCAAAATTGGTACAACGTCACAATTGCAAAGCAATGCACAACATGCGTGCTTGGGGTCCCTTTCACGATACGGATTTTCCACCCTGGCCCGAACCATGCCCAGCATGACAGAACTGGGAACCACCAACGCACGCCGCTGGGAGCTGGACTTCATCGACACCGCCAGCTGCTGGACCTTCCGTAGCGCCAAATGCCGCAAATCCTGACAACGAAGGAGATGGCGGATTTGCACATCGAAGACATCTGGAGGATCAGCTCAATCTCAGTCCATTTGCCTGAAAACGAATCAACCAACGAGATGATGGCCAGGAATTTAGAGTCTTGTCCACCAGGAATTTTGGGACGAATCAAATGGTGTTTGCCATAGTGTGTATTATATGTCTTTTTCGGCGGGTGCCGACCAGCAACCTCTCTCGGCGCATGTGAACAACAGGGCTGTGCCTTTGATCTGGAGCTGCCAAGCCTTCAAGCGCTGCAAATTCAACACACGCTGCATGTGTCACAGTCGTGTGCAATCTCACTGGACCAGCAAAAAAACCTCACCATCCGAGGTGGTCGACTTGCCCTTGGTCATTTGGTCGCCCCAAAAGACCTCTGTGTATGATCGGGTATCGATCGGTCACATACAATTCAGGCCAAGAGACTGCAGGAAGCTCAAGGCAGTTGGCTTGTTGCCGGAGTTCATGACGCCTGCTTCTTGCAAAACCCATCTGTGGTCTTCACAAACCCTCGGATCGTCAGTGATTTGGACCAGCAGATTACCAGGTAAGTAGAACAAAACTGCATCTTCTGGTACGAAAAAGTAGGCTCTTCTTGAGTCCTGGGGGTGCAATTCAATTGAACTCTCTATATATTATTCTACTCACATATTATTGTACTGACACATATCATATATATATATATATAAAGTTATTCTATTCACACACACACATATATATATATATATATATTAGTATACATTAGTCCCTCATCCTTTTTCCCGCTATATATAACTTCCAGAACAATAATATATCGGCCTGTTGTTCCTGGTCTCCCGGCCTCTCAAAGCCTTCAGTGCTCCCAAAATGGCCTCAACAACGGTGGTGAGCTGCCAGCACTTACAGGAACAACTCCCAGTGCTCTTTTCACGGTGGATATGAAGACCTTCTTTCAAGAAAAACAGTTAATACTAAATACCATATGTGCTCGTTTCACAATGCTTCTTTGCTGCGGTTCTCAATCCAATCGTTCCGTCGAAGTCGTCAACGTCGGTTCCAATCGAAACGTCTCATCACACGTCCACCGAGGCCAACTCACCGACCAAACACCCCGAAACGTCCCATCATGGTTTACACCACCAACACGCATCACCTTGATCTCATCTCCGCGATTCTTCTTCTGCTGCTGAAACTGTCCGGCCTCAACGGAGGTGGGTCGCGTGTGCGACACCAGGTGTGGGCTGAAGACACACACATTTTGAAAAGAAAAGGACATGGAGTGCTGGGCATATCACACATGAAGTGATACTTCAGACTACTGCCTTGGCAAAGTGTAGTCTGAAGGATTGGACGAGTCCAAGTATGTCTGAGAAACCCTATGAAACGCTAAGTTGCTCTGCCAAACAAGAACTACTGCGAATGAAAAGCTTGAGTCTGCATTCCTGGCGGAGGGTTGGGATGGTTTGGGACACAGTTCTACTTTTCGACACTGTCAGATCGAGTCAAGTCCTGGCCTTCTCCATGCAGCCACGTTCGACCTGCACCAAGTACCTCAAGAGATTCTCTCGCACAAATCAACGTCAGAGACGGCATGGTCTGAAATGTTCTTGCTGCCCCTTCTTGCAGCATCAAACCCGGGGGCAAGGAACATCAAATGAACCAACAAATGTCACGCGACCATCGTTTTGAGCTGTTTGAGACTCTTCCATCTCCAACGTCAACTGCCCAGCGCCGCACTCCTTGGCTGTCTTGATATCCTGCCCACTCGGCTATTGTTCGAGCTTTTCACGTAAGAACGTCAATGCAATCGACAAAAATGGACTACTGGCCATGAAAATAAGAGAAGTTGACAAACAAACAACAACATGTTACCACTCAACATGGAACTCAACAAGGAACACCCCAGTCGCTTCGCGTCGCCCTTCTTCGCCGTTTGGACGGAAGGGTCGCGGCCCGTCAGACAGTGGAAGACGTACACGACTGGTGTGTCGCGTTTGAAGGAGACCGGTGGGAGGCCTATCCTATCGCTTTTGTCAGAAAGCGCCCAATTCCTTCGCTTTTTGGCAGACCGCTCTTTACTGGAGTCATCGCACGTTTTGGCGGTTGGTTGATTGAAATGAAAAGGAAAGAGAGGGAGAGACAGGGGAGCACATGGCAGCAACGTGTTCGTGGGGGAGTTGTTACCATGAGGACCACAGTGAAGTGTGGAAAGCTGAAAGTCACTGGAGTAGAAAGGATGATGGAAATGCGAAAGGTGTTTAATTGGGGCAATAGAACGCTCTAAACACAAAACAAAAACAAAGTACCCGGAGCCAAGTTTAGAAAAGAAACTTTCGGAAAACGTCATCTCTGCACTAAGCACGTGACTGGCAAGGGATAAACTTGCACAGGAAGAAGAAAACACGGATTTGTACAATAAAATTACCATATCTACACTCATATACATGCATAATGCACACCATTCACACCACACCGT